CCTTCCTTCCTTCCTTCCTTCCTTCCTTCCTTCCTCTTTCTTTTTATTTTTTGAGACAGGGTCTTGCCTTTGTCACCCAGGCTAGAGCACAGTGGTACAGTCACCTTGCATGCAGCCTCTACCTCCTAGACTCAAGCAATCCTCCTGTCTCTGTCTCTTGAGTAACTAGGACTATAAGCATGCCCCACACCTGGCTAATTTTTTGTTTTTAATCTGTTTTTGTGTGTGTGTGTGTGGAGATGGGATCTCACTATGTTGCCCAGGCTAGACTTGAACTGCTGGCCTTAAGTGATCCTCCCACCTCAGCTTTTCAAAGTGTTGGGATTATAGGTGTGACCCACCACACTTGGCCCAGTTTTCATTTCTTTAGCACCAGGGTCAGCAACCCTTTTCTGTAGGGGGCTAGATGAAGTATTTTATGCTGTAAGGTCTCTGTTGTGAGTACTCTGCTGTTATAGTGTGAAAGCAGTCGTAGACAATACATAAGTAAATGGATATGGGTGTGTTCCAATAAAACTTTATTTACAAAAATGGATGGGCTAGATTTTGGTACATGGCTGTACCCTGTTTTATGCTAAATACCTAAGAATGGAATTGCAATTTATCATGAGTACATAATAATTAAATGTTTAATTTGATAAGAAAATGCCAAACTTTTAGTTTATTGATTTAAAATATACTTAGTAACATTTGAATCATGGGATGTTATTGAACTCAGGCGGCATATAGTTCACGCAGCAAGCTCACCTAATTTATAAGACAGGCTTTGGTCTTATGTGGAGGATCTATTTTACCTTCTGCTTTTATTCATATTCTTGTGTGGTCTTTTGGCTTGGATGTATCTTTTCTTCACAGATAAAATACATAGCATTTTTCCAGTAATTTTTATTTGCATTAGTTAAGATATAGTTGAAAATTTTAGGGAGGTTGCCTTTTTATTTTTTATTTTTTTTAATGTATGTATTAGGAGCCAAAGGATTAGAGATGGGGTTGCTAAGTTTTTAAATCAATTAAACGGTTGATTGTATCCTAGAATTTGAGGATAGCTGGTTATACTCTATACTCATCACACCATGATGTCTCTTTAGAAGACTTTGTTTCAGTGCCAAAGCCAGACCTTTTCGGTGTGGAAGCTAAACCCAGACTGTTTATCCATAAGGGAAACTCACCTACTACATTATATCTCTGTTTTGTGATAAGTGTTTTTTTAATGGCAACTTAGGTGTTAAATCTTAGGTTAGTAGCCAAGTATCCTTGGAATTCTTCTTAGGAACAGCATCCTACAGATTGAAGACTGTTTTTGTTTTTTTTCTGAGGGGTGTGGGATTCACCTTCCATTTTGTTGTGATTCTCTTTGCCACAAAAAGCTGAGATTTGGGGTTAAAGGGCAAGTAAATCATCTTGGATATATCAATAGCTTAATGAAGTTGGAGATGATGAATAAAGCAAAGGAGGTCTATTTTTCTGCTTATGATTTACTGTTAATTTTTTTTTTTTTTCTGGAAAAGCAGTGAAGCCCCAGGCCCATAACAACATCAGGGAGGTGGGAATAACATTTTGTGCTAATAGTCGTCCCTCTAGTCTTCATGCAGTGGTTGAAAGGCTATGCCCATGAGTCGGAAGTGCTACTGTTGACATGATATGCTTTTTTAAAAGTGGTAACTATTTGTGGAAAAAAAATATCTTTTCTACTTTCTGTGGGCTTGGGCACTGGCACTTGAATCATTGGTGTGGCAATTGAACATGATCTCCTTTGAGAATCAAATAAAAGTCATAGGTCATCTTCCTAGAATATATGTATGTTCACAAATTTAATATGAAGTTTCAGGGGTTTATTTACCCCCAAGCCAGCATTGTCCAATATAACTTTCTGTGACAATTGAAATGTTTTATATTGGCTCTCTCTAATACAGTAGTCACTAGACACATAATAGCTTTTGAGCACTTCAAATGTATCTGATGCAACTTAGAAACTAGGTTTTTTACTTCTCTGCCGGCTTAAGCTCTTTCATATGCTATAGGTTATAATCCCTATAAAAGAGGTTTTGTGAATGTCATTGTTAGGAATTAAATTTGTTCATTTCACTTCTGCTTTTCGCATTCAAGCAGTAGTTATTGTATCTTGCTTTTCAGTTAAATTTTGATAGTTGTTGTCTCTAAATATGTAACTTCTTTGTAATTCAGGGAGATTTAAAGGCTTTTTTCAGTATTTGATCCTGTTTCTTTCATAATGGAATATCCAGAGTAGGTTTGTCCTGGGCTATTAAGCTTGTTCAGAGAATGTGAGGCGAATACCTATTGAGTCCTCTGTTGTGGGCTCTCCAGCGTCACTTTGTCCTGCAGTAGGAACACTCTGGTGATTTAGAGCCATTTTTACCCAAGTATTTTAAAAGCGCATTTCCCTTTTGGGAGACCAAAGTGGGCAGATCACCTGAGGTCAGGAGTTCGAGACCAGCCTGGCCAACATGGTGAAATTCCATCTCTAGTAAAAATATAAAAATTAGCCGGGCATGGTGGCGTGCACATGTAATCCCAGCTACTCAGGGGGCTGAGGTAGGAGAATCGCATGAACCCAGGAGGCAGAGGTTGCAGTAAGCTAAGATTGGGCCATTGCACTCCAGCCTGGGTGACAAGAGTGAAACTCTGTCTCAAAAAAATAAAAACAAAATAATAAACTAAAATAAATAGTGCATTTCCCATACTTATACATTATTTAGTAACAAGCTGAAAAGTTTATGGGTGGCCTCCATACCATCTGATTTTACATATCTGTAGCAGTGGTTCTTAATCTCAGATGCATATTAGAATCAGTTGGGAAACCCATAAAGTCCCTGCCTAGGCTCTAGCCCCAGAGATTCTGATTTGAAGCAGTTGGCTTCTGGGCATCAGAGCATATTTTAAACTTCCTAGTTGATACCAGTATCCAACCAGGGTTGAAAAGCCTTCATGTATGAGATAGTTAGTGGACCTGGGCTGCTTATATTGAGGAAAATATTCGTAATTTGTGACTAATTCATAATTTTTTTCCCCTCCTTTCTAGTTCGAGCCCAGATTTCAAGTCTTGAGTAAAATACCTTCAAGCGAATGGGCCCTATTGTACTCAACACATTCAGAACCTGTTATCCAAGGAATTCCCTAAAGGTCAGTGTCTGGGAAGAAAATTTAGTGGGCTTTTGTTTTTCATCTTTACTGTCACTGAATTTACTGATAATTAAAGACTGTTAATTACTTGCCTGTAGACAGGGCTTTTTATATTGACTTGATTTATAGAGCTACCATTATAAATTTGATTACTGTACTGTCATATTTAGGAAATAGGAAATGTATGTTGAGAACTGTTTCTAATAGGCTATTTAAAGGAGGATCTATATTATATGTACACCTATATCCTTATACCCATTTAACATGTCTTTACAAAGATATTTAAGAAATTAGTAATGACAGTTCTAGGGAGGGGAACTGGAGCCCCGTAGTGGGATATTTACTTTTACTGTGTATTCTTTTCAGTGTGGTCTTTTAAACCCCATGCATATATTAAATTTCAAAAAAAATTCTTAATGGCTAAAAATGCTTTTTTTAGTTTTATAAATATGCTTATAGTTTTTTCTACTTTGAAAAATAGAAAACAACCTCACATTCCTTGAAATTGTGGGTCTCTGTTATTTCGTATACTACTTCTTGTGTTGGATATGTTGTTTAGGGACATACATCTGATTTTCTTCTCTTGAACTCAGGTCCTGGATTTCTTTTGCTTTACATTTTCTTTCACCCTTTTTTTTTTAAATTTTTAATTTTTATTTTTGAGACAGAGTCTCACTCTGTCACCAGACTGGAGCACGATCTTAGCTCACTGCAACCTTTGCCTCCCGGGGTTCAAGTGATTCCTTTTCCTCAGCCTCCCGAACAGCCGAGCAGCTGGGACTACAGGCATGCACCACAACGCCCATCTAATTTTTGTATTTTTAGTAAAGACGAGGTTTCACCATGTTGGCCAGGATGGTCTTGATCTCTTGACCTTGTGATCCGCCTGCCTCGGCCTCCCAAAATGCTGGGATTACAGGCGTGAGCCACTGTGCCTGGCCTCTTTCACCCTTTTATTTCACCGTGTTCCAATTTGTCTCTTTTTATCTTTTGCACTAATTCTTATTCCTTCATTTTATTTCCAGCTTAATTAATGCCACTGCCATTCTTTGCATCACTCAACCTGGAATTCTGAGTCCTCTTGATCTTTTTCCTTTGATCCTGAAAGATACCCACTTCCTAGATTGTTAATCCTATGTTGGTGGTATTACATGTATTCTCTCATACCACTGTGCCTCATCCCTACCTCCACTGGCACTGCCTTTATCTCTGAAGCATCATTAAGATACATGTATCCCACACATCACACTGTATTTAGAAATATTTTCTCAACATATGTTACCCTCCTACGTAACAATTTATTGTTAACCTAACCTGAAAGGCCTTTTAGGCTCTTCCTCTGTCTAGTTTTTCTATGCAAGCCTCATCTCCAGCTTTTCTCCATATTCACCCTTTGTTTCAACTATGCAGAGCTACGTGGTCCACCCAGCAGCATATCTTGTGCTTTCTTGTCTGTGTACACAGTTTATTTGCTAGAAATAAGTTGTAGTCCATTGTTAGCTGAATGAGCTTCTCTTTAATTTCTGAGACTTAGTCCACATGTCACTTTCTCTATCGGTAGTTAACTGCCTTTTCCCTGTGATCTCCATAGCACTTGGTTTACTTATTTATTATTCATTATAATACTTACCTCATTGCTTGTATTACATTTTTTTTACTTAACCGTGATCCCCTAGAGGGTAGAATGTGAATGATTCATCTTTCCATCACTAGGTTCTAGCAGAGTACTTGCATGTAAAAAGTGTTATTAAATGAATAAGAAAATAAATGTTAACATACACAATTTTTGAACTCTTGCTTTATAACCATGTGAGCTCACTAATTCAGTGTTTTTAAAATTTAGTAAAGGCTAACCTGAGTTTTATGTCTTTGAAAAAAGAGTTTAATAAGTTACTTATGGTAACTTATTAATCAATTATGAGGAAAATGCTCACCTATTTGAAAGAGCTGACTTTTTTTTTTTTGGAGACAAAGTCTCACTCTGTTGCCCAGGCTGGAATGCGGTGGTACAGTCTTGGCTCACTGCAACCTCTTCTTCCTGGGTTCAAGAGATTCTTGTACTTCAGCTTCCTGAGTAGTAACTGGGATTGCAGGTCTGTGCCACCACAACTGGCTAATTTTGTTTTTGTTTTTGATTTTTTTTTTTCTTCAGACAGAGTCTCACTCTGCCATCCAGGCTGGAGTTCAGTGACGCAATCTCCGCCTCCTGGGTTCAAGTAGTTCTCCTGCCTGAGCCTCCTGAGTAGCTAGGACTACAGGCGTGCCGGCTAATTTTTGTATTTTTAGTAGAGATAGGGTTTTACTGTGTTGGCCAGGCTGGTCTTGAACTCCTGACCTCAGGTGATCCGCCCGCCTTGGCCTTCCAGAGTGCTAGGATTACAGATGTGAGCCACCGTGCCTAGCCTAATTTTTAGTAGAGTTGGGGTTTCACTATGTTGGCCAGGCTTGTCTCAAACTCCTGACCTCAAGTGATCCGCCCACTTCAGCCTCCCAAAGGCGTAAGCAATTGCGCCTGGCCAAGAGCTGACTTTTTAAAAAGTACTTTTAGATGATTTAGAATACTTTTCATGCAAATCACTTATATGTAGTACACGACAATTTGACTGTTATTTAAAGTAGAAAACAGTAAGCTTTTATCAACATAACCAGAGCTTATGTTCTTGAAAGTAATGCTGTATTTATTTAACATATATTGTTTTGATATTTTGCTTATTCTCTCTTCATTGCATGTCCATTTGAATGTTGACATTTATTTGCCTTTTGTTTTTCCTTAGTTTGAATATAAGGATCGTGGTAGAAATTTACTGTAGTTTCCAAGTTTATGTTCCTTATAGAGTCTTTAATATACATTTAAAGTTGATTGTGTGTTAAATTAGTTTTTAAACAACAGTTGTAAGTCTATAGATCTTGGTGGTCTAGAATTTCTCAGATTTTCAAATAGGAAAATCTAGAAATTGAAGTAAAAAATACAGAGATTGAGAAACGTAAGTTCTCTAGGTGTACCTACTCTAAATTTATCAACAGTAGGTGAGGAAAGGATTCCATATGAAATGGCTGAGTAAAAGCATTTGTATTCTATTCTTCTGCCTAATGCTAACTGAACATAACAAAAAGAATAAAGAATAGGGAAGAAATCTTTTAACTTCAGTAAAATGAGGAGAAAACCATAATCCCAAGCCTCAGACCATGAGAAGAACTGCCAAATATTGTGAACGTAGAAGCAAATTGAGAAGTGTGCAAATATCAGATTTTAAACCCGCCACAGAGCTCTCCCATAGTAGACAGTAAGGGGACTACAAAGTCTTAGGCAAGCTGAAGCTGTAGGGAAAGACACAGATGTACCTTTTTTTTTTTTTTTTTTTTTTTTTTTTGCAGAAAAGAGTGGCAGGAAGCAGCAGAGTAGAGGGGTTAATATAATGAACCATCTCCTTGGTCTCAGTTGATGCAAAGCAGCCGAAGAGAAGTAAACACTAAATCACAATGCAGACATTCCAGGGCTAAACACTCTCCCTTTCTCTAATTCTGCTCCCAGCTCTACTGGCTTCATTACAGTTCTTCAGCCATGTGAAGCACAATCTTACTTTGGCAAGCCTTTGGTTTTACTACTTCCTTAGCCTGGAATTTTATTCCCCTAGAAATTCTTAGGGATTGCTTCTTCATTCAGGTTTCTGTTCTGGTGTGAACTCCTCAGAAATGTTCCCTGACCATGCAGACTGAAACAGCAACCCTGGGAACATTCTATTTTCAAAGCTTACTGAATTTTTTTCATAACATCAGACATATATTGATTTCTTTATTTTTTTCTTTTACCCATGACAATTTAAACTCCAAAAGGACACAGATTTTAGTAGGCTTCTGTTCTTCCTCTACATTCTTAGCATCTAAAACATTGCTGAACACATAGTGGTTGCTTAATAATTATTTGTTGAATAAACTATTCAATAAACAATAGGCAACATAGAGTTCCTGTGCCCAGTGTAAACTAGGAGATCTATATGAGAGGCTTAAGACACATTAGTAGCCAATAGCAATAAGTGGTCTTTATTTTGAACCTGATTCATACAAAATAACTATAAAAATCTACCATGACATTTATGAGATTTTGAACATCGGATATTTGATATTAACACAATGATGGTCACTAGTTTTAGTTTTAGTGTGATAATCCTTTTTTTAGAGTCCTTTATTTTTTGGAGATTCTTATACAAATGCACACACACTTTATAAGAGGTAATATAATGCCTGAATTTTGATTCAAAATAAGTTTAAATTTCTGACAATTGAAGAAGAGCTTTAAAAAATATATATGTAATGGAGGATGTTGATGGTGAGGCTATATTTTGATCCTATGGACACATTCAAAAGCATCATGTATTAACCATCAATGCTTATACTGCCATCCTTTGCAATTCTTTAAACTCAGGTTGAAAAGTGTTAGTTATCAACCTAAAAATATTAAAGATAATACCTAGTTATTCTGACTTATATTAGGAATTGCATACAAAAAAAAATTTGAAGGCTGTTTTTCTAAATTATCTTAAGACAATTTCTGTTTCCAGGGTTATTCTCTGCTGTACCTTCCCCGGCAGATTAGTTCTACTGTCATTGATGTGAATTGAATGTCTGTCCCAATTTGACTTTTTAATGCCTGGAGAGAAATCAATGTAGTGCTCAAAGATTATGCATTTGGCACTAAGATACTCTAGAGCCATCATAGACTTTAAAAATACATTTATGCTTCCCTAAAAACAAAAAGTAGAGTTTCCATAAGCAAAATGTCTATTGAGTTCTTCTCCTGTTTTCTGCTTTTTCATTATGTAATCTAACACAGGTTTCCTACTGAAAGGAGGTGGACATAGTTTTTCTTTCCCATTATATAATTTTATATTTTTGTGGTTCATATATAATAAATACTTTCAAATTATTAATTAGATGTTTTCTTATATTTATCATTGTGTTTTGCAGAATCTGAAGATTCATGTTGATTAGGTGGTTTTTGC